TTTCACTAAGCCTGTTGATTTCCAGGCCTTTCAGTGTGAACGGGCCAAAACTGATTTCTTTATACTAATAAACTAGTATACCCAACAAGAGCTAATACTTAACAATTATTCGCCGAAGGCGAAGTGAATATTGGTGAATATTCCCCAAGACGAAGTCGAGGGGAATATTCACCAATATGCACGAGCCTGAGGCGAATAATTGTTTTATAATATACAAAACAAACGGAAAATGTTGAATTTCTCCGAGGAAAATAGAAAAATACCAAAACGTTCCGCCATTTTTTTCCCGAGACAAACAAAATTGAACTTCGCGGCATTTCCAAATAAGGTAGAGAGGGTATATTGTCTCTGAGACCATGAGTAGGGAAACCAATCAAATTGCTCGAAAATGCATTATCCTATGGTTAGTATATTATAAATGTAAGTAGCTAATGATGTCTTTTTAGTTGGAAAACTGAGCGCTCATAAAAGTCAAAAGAAGGATTAAACAAACATTAAAGTAAATTGGCGTACTTCACGGACCTGCTGCGTTAGCTCAGAAGCATAATTTCTCTTTGTAAAGATATACTTATTCGGCTCACTTATATATTGTATTTATCAATCGAGTAAGGTCCCGGAAATTTTGTCCCAGATTGTGCATTGGGTTATTGGAACCGGCGCTGGTGACTTAGACTACGAGCGGTCACTCATTTTACTCAGGGATCGAGTGGGTGCGCGCGCGCGTGGAAATCACCTCCCGCGAGAAGACGCGCGTCTTCTCGCGGGGGGAGGTGATTTCCACGCGTCTCGCGCGCGCTCGCCCATTTGATCCCTGCGAAAAATGAAGGACTGTTCGTAGTCTACCGGTGACTCTAGTTAAAATCTAATGTTAAGTGTATGAATAAGTTATATGACTTACACTGAAATGTTACGAAACACCTAACGCGCCATTCGGTGAACTATCAGTGAATACTTGACTGCCGCTATATTAATGTTCTATTTATTATTGTTTCATTTAGACATTTTTCTTCGCAGGAAGACACCAAGGATCATGCGCACTAGTTGGTTTGCCTTTGGTACTTTGATCGCCTTAATTTCCTGCTTAACCGATGTATCATGTCAGCGGAAGAAGTGTTTGGGCCCTCAGAACTATTGCTCCGGTCAATTTGGAAACATGCAGGCCGTCTGTGTAGGCGGATACTGCGTCTGTACTGGTCAGGATTACGATTATAATACTTGCTTGCGTAAGTGGTTTTGTTAACCCTAAACATACCAACTGGCCATATATGTCCATTTTGGAGTCTTACACATCAATTAACACGTGACAAGATTAATTTGACATGCATCTGATGCAGAAAGGATGGATCTTTATAACCGTGCATTAATTTTGGAAATTTAACAAATTCTTCCAGAGTTATGCTGGAAAAAACCTGTTCAATTTTTGTTGAAAAATCAGTGGCAAATTTGGCTCTCACACCCAACATACTTCCAGGTTCATTTTTCAGCTCCCTTAAAAGGTTAGGTCAAAACTTTTCCAGCTGATAGGAAGTGTATCAAGCGCCAAAGATAGAAAGAAAAGAAAGGGGAAGTAATAGGAAAGGAAAAGAGAGAAGGAAAAAAATCAGCTATGCACTTTGGCCAACGATAAAATTGAACGTTTTTGCCCTAAATCCTTTTCAAAATCTTCCCCTAGTTCTCCAAACGGCATTTTTAGCAACGGTTAGTCAAATTTCGGGTGACAGCACCAAGAAAACGGGTTTCGTGACCCAAAAATTGTTTAAATGTGCGAATTTTGGTATGTTAAGGGTTAAGTATCTAATTAAGGAGCCATGCAGAAACACGCCCAACAATTAACGCCCAAACCCCTTCTCCACCCAACCCATTATTCCCTATTTTTTATTCCGTTGATGCCTCAATAGTTAACTTCCTCATTTCTTTAGCTGATGCATATGGCTGTAAAATCGTTGAGAATACTGATGCAGCGCTTGCCAAACCACAGTATAACAACCAACAGCAGAAGACTAACTACAGCTGCACGCCTGTGAACAGTTCCACACAGTACGAAGTCCACATACTGAGTGTGTATGAGGCCGAGCGTATCCACAGAAGGCCTCCAGTAGCGAATGACGCCACTGTCAATATCGTTAGTGACGGAAAGTCAGACAGGCCGATTATACTCGTGCTTGGAAGCTACGAATCAGTTAATTGGATTCTCAATTTACCAGCTGACATTACCATCATTAAGGTGATCCTGGTGAGTACTGAACGAAATCATTTCAGCTCAAGGCTCAGTACCCAGACACTTTTTCCAATAAACCTGCTGACTGATGATACAATGTTTTTATCGGACAATACATGGTATCTTGTTTGTTTCATGGAAACGTACCGTTTGTTCTTAAAAAAGCTAAATTTCATTAGGTTTACGGCTTGGTGGGCGGAGAGTTATCTGAACGCGTCGGAAACAGAAAATCCGGCAGTCCTTCTTTCTTTCTTTCTTTCCTTCTTTCTTTCTTTCTTTCTTTCTTCTCTTCACTTCCTCTTCGCTCGGCCCCATTCTCGATCGCTCGCGCTTCTCGCTCGATTTCCGCTTTCTCTCGCTTTATCCGAAAGAAAGAGGGACTGCTCGCAGTCTAGGGCCTTTTACTCAGGTTCATTCCTATCTAATCATCTTAATTATCCCACAGATAAGGAAAAATATATATTGACGAAGAGTTGTGTTGTATTTTGGTAGGTTGCTTATTATCTTGCTGAAAGTAATGTTAGTGGAGACGTGAATCAAGTACAAGTAATTGAACGAAAGCGGTGTTGCTCACAGTGGTCTTACGGATATGGCAGTGATTTAGGGGGAGGGAATACAGTAGGGCTTCTGAAGTAAGTAAACAGCTAAGTGTATGTTATTAATTTTCAAACAAATAGACAAGATATCTAAACTATAAGAATCAAGCACACACATACACATGGTGGCATTGTAATTTGATTGTGTTGTATTGTATTGTCGGTACACCCTACTGATATATATCGAGGGGGGTGGGGGGCAGGGGAATCTGAACTTCCTTCCTTCTGTACCTTGTATTCCCGGTTCTCGCCCCTTCAGTTGTGGAACCGCTTCTACGTTTTATATTACTTATTTTATTACTTCTCCCGCCACCTTAGGCATCCCGCTTCCTGCCTTCTCTTCTCCCGCCTCCTGTAGACTCCCCACCCCCCCCCCCCCCACCCCTTTACTCCCGGGTTCCTGTCCCCTGCCCCCACCCCCCAATAAGGTGATTAAGAGAAAGTAAATGTTATTGTTTTGTTTTGGACATTTTTTATTTTCTTTTTTGTAGGCAAGTGTACAACAGGTATGGTGTAGTGACATCGTTTACAGGAACTTACAGAGCAGATGAATGGTCACTGATGTTATCTAATTCTTCCTCACAGGGTATTGAAACTTTATTGATGTATGGTATTGTTGATCAGTTTCGTTACTGAGCCGTTGCTGCAATGATACATGTTCTGAATCAGATCACGTGGTTTGGGGCCGGGGTAAATCTATTTATTACACGACTAAGACAGTTGAGAGGGCCAATAACTAAAATTCAGCCAATCAGAATGCTTTATTACCGGTCAAAGGTGAAGTCAAATTTGTGACGGCTTTGCTATGCCTTTGATATATACTTGTCAAGCTGTTTGGTCAAATAACTAAATTAAGCTCCGGACTGTTGAGAGGGGACAGGAACGGACAGTTAAATATCCCATCTAGTTTTTAACTCATTTTTTCCTCCTCTCTAGTTTTTTCGGCCGTTTCTCTCTCCTTCCTGTACCGTTCCTCTCCCTCTATTCAGCCACTATAAGCTCTGTAAAGGCTTTACTTACTGACAAGTTCTCTCAATCTTAATTTTTTCTTGGCAATAAACTGAGTTTGTCTTAAACAGGTTCAGGGTTTGGAAACCTCAGCAGCACCGCCGCCGCCACCACCACCACTGCTACCACCACCACGGCTTCCACCACCACCACCACCACCGCTGCCACCACTACCACTACTACCACCGCTACCTCATCCACACCCACGTCCACGTTTCACCGGCAGAAGTGTTTACACATTCTTGAACTCCACGAGCTATTGTCCTGGCCAATATGGTAAAATGAAGGCTATGTGCAGTGACGGATACTGTGTCTGTACTGGCCAAGGCTACGATTATTATAGTTGCTTGCGTAAGTTGTTTTGCTATGTTCTCAATAAAGCAGGTGCAAAAATGTTGCTCAGTAACAACGCAGACCGTAAAAACTCACGAGAAACAGTGTTTCATCGGATTTCCACTCACCGAGAACATAGTTGAAAATACGACGTAGCGGAGTATTTTTGACGAAATTTGAGGTGTTTGGAAATCGGATGAAACACTGTCTCCAGTGTTTGATACACCTCCCGCGATGCCCATAAACTTTGATTTCACATTTGACGCTCGCTCGTCAAAGGTGAAGTCAAATATGCGACGGCCTTGCTATACCTTTGATAGTTCTCAAACGCTAGCTTGGTCAAATATGTCAATAACTTTGATTAGCTTCACATTTGACGCTCGTCAAAGGTGAAGTCAAATATGCTACGGCTTCGCTATGCCTTTGACACTTGTCAAAGGCGTGGTCAAATATGTCAATAACTTTGATTAGCTTCACATTTGACGCTCGTCAAAGGTGAAGTCAAATATGCTACGGCTTTGCTATGCCTTTGACACTTGTCAAAGGCGTGGTCAAATATGTCAATAACTTTGACTTCACATTTGACGCTCGTCAAAGATGAAGTACAATATGTGACGGCTTTGCTATACCTTTGATAGTTTGTCAAAGGCGTGGTCAAGCCTATAACTTACAAATGAATACTGAGTGCGTTTAAATGTAATTATAAGTATACCACTGACATTGTATACATTGTTGTTCATGTTACCTTAAGTCGTCGGTACTAGGGTATCGTTTTTAGGGTCTTCTGACTCGAACAGGCTATCCAATGTCATGATTTCACATTTAAACATTTGCTACAAGTTCTCTTCTGACAGACGCGGTGGCCTAATGGTTAGTACGTTGGACTCCAGATCGAGTGGTCCGGGTTCGAGCCCTACCCGGGGAGATTTTGAAGTTTTTCCTCGTTTCCCCCGAAAAGTTACGTGACCTCGATCTTGACGTCACGTCTGGTGTTCGAGGCAGTCAGGTAAGTGAAATACGGTAGAGCTTTTTGCTGTCTGATTAGTACTGTAGTGACAATAGTAAGTCAGCCTAGTTTCATCTGAAATTATACAGTAAGCAAACAGAGCTCATCAGCCAAAGCAACACATCCATACTTTATAAATGCATTGGAATAAATTTAGAAGGAACAAGATATATAAATATACATACACTCTTTTTTTTATATAAGAACGTCTAATTTTTTAGCTGAGGCTGAACCAAGACCGAATGTTCTTATTTTTTGGCGATTTCAGCCTGAAAACGTTCTTAACATGTTCTTAAGTTACATGTCACACAAAAAGATTCGAACGTGACCATGAAAATGTATTTACACTTTATGTGATAGAAATTTAAAATGTTGTTTCTATAAAAATTGTGTATTCAAGTATTTTGAGCTGATTTGAACTGCTTATTCACTGAGATATTTGAAATCTACATTTTGTCCAGATTTTGTTAATTTTTTGAAAGGATACTGGAGTATCGTATTGAGAGCTCGATGCAAGAAACAAGTGGTCCAAATGAATAAAAATGTTCTTAGCTAAGTCTCAACCTGGTTATGTTCTTAGCATGTTGTTAAAATTTTGGTCAATCTCAGCCTCAACGTTCTTATAAAAAAGGTTCTTATAAAAAAAGAGTGTAACTGTAATTTAGCTCAGGCTAATCTGCCATAGAAGGCAGATCTCATTCTCAGCTAACAGTTAAAATTTTGGCCAATTCTCAGCTATCATCATGCAGGACCCTCTATATAGACTACCGCCGTGATATAATCTCGAGGTCCCGTGAATATAAGCCGTCAGCATTATCCACTCTCGCGGTTGTAAAATACAAGACAGGAAGTCAAAGATATCAAGAATATTTTGATTGATGCCAGGTTCATGTTAAAAAGGTATTTGTTATCCTTTCTAGTAGTTCACATTATTTTTTATTGTTATTCAAGCTATAAAAACGTTGCGGTTGTTACAACTGATTCGCCGCCAATTTTAAAATAACCGAGCATCGATCAGATGACCAAATAAAGCAGCCTATAAATAAGACATTTCAGTGACCTGAGCCAACGCCAAGTAGGACTAAAGGAAGAGCTAGTAAGGGCTGTAATTTCGCTCAGGCTAATTATATGCCATAGAAGGCAAATTTGCAACTTTAAAACTCAACCATAGTGACATGAAAGCTGAATATTCGTCCCCAAATGTGAACTTTCCTCGACAATTGTGGAAGATGAACATTAGCAGGAAGCGAAAACTCGACTGATTCAGCTAGTTCTTCCTTTAATGCTGCTTGGTGTTTGCTCAGGTCACTGAAATATATTATTTATAGAACTGCTTTATTTGGTCATCTGATGCTCGGTTTTTAAAATTGACGACGAATCAGTTGTAACAACCGCAATGGTTTTATAATTTGAATATCAATCAAAAATAATGTGAACTACAAGAAAGGATAACAAATACCTTTCTAACATGGGCATCAACCTTAATATTCTTGATATCTTCGACTTCCTGTCTCGAATTTTACAACCGTGAGAGTTCTATGAGGTCTGATATGGATAACACTGACCTTACTGATTCACGGCATATCAGACCTCGAGCGGATTATATACGGTATTATTATATGACATAGCATTTTAGAGTGCGAATACGCACAAAGACGAGAGCAGATATGAGACCGTATTACACGGGTCTTAGTCCCCCTGCCCGCGCGCTACGGAAAACACTGTTGAAAGCCTATATTTTAGGAAAGATATTATGTCGTATAATAAACAATTTATTCAGCGGAAAGTTGTGTAATACGGGTGGGTATTTTTACGAGTCAGTGTTTATTTTTTCTCGCCTAAAGGCTCGAAAAAATAAAAACTGACTCGTAAAAATACCCACCCGTATTACACAACTTTCCGCTGAATAACCTCTAAGCTGAGAATGCGATCTGTCAAAATTAACTGATAGCTGAGAAATGACCAAAATTTTAACTGAGAAATGGCTAAAATTTTAACTGATAACTGAGAATCCAGCACTACCATCAGGAGCCTCTATACACAGCTGATTCGAGAAAAGTTGTCCCACAGAAGCGAAGAAGCGTCAGTGTACGCGACAATGCCGAAACGTATTATGGTTAGTGCTTCATCGTGTTTCAGCAGAAACCATGAATGTCTGTTTGCATGTACTAAAAAAAAAAAAAAAGTAGGTTCGACACGTATTCTATAGCGGGGCATTTATTAAAGTTAATTGATTATATTCCAGACTACCTTCAGCTTTCGGTAATGTCGCGAACGGCCTTTACGCTTCTTTTGGAAAACCATTCTCGAAACAGCTGTAAATAGCTGTATGCAAACGATATAGTTCAACATTAAAGGAAGCCCGGTTACTTTACCGACTCACGTCAAAACAAGAACCATTGACAGTTTGTTAATTAATACTTTATTTGTGGCTTGAAACGGTCCATCAAACGTCTCAACGCGGAACCTGTTACAACTATAAATTGAACGTTTGTTCAAAATTAGCTATCAGATTTAAGCCGGAGAAGTTTACTAGTTGCTATTAATCATGTTTGACATTTCAGGCAGGAATCAGTTCTTTGGTCTGCCACAAACTGAAGCTAACTACATATTATACTTCACTGAGGAAACAAACAGGACGTAAACTGTCAATCATGGCATCAGCTCTGTTCAGATTAATACCTCCTTTTTCAGTTTCTTCATAAAATAACCATAGTTATTAGTAGAGGGCATTTTTTAATACTGCCAGTGAGTAAACAGGATTTTGCTTTTCATTCTATTACATTAGCACAAGAGAGGATGATCTAAGAGAAGCATTCCCGTGGCCCATGATAATGTTTTTGAAATCTATTAATAGTTTCGCGCCATGCTATGAAAGTTATTTTAATTCCTTCTGACCGAGGCTCCGATACCACGTTACTCGAACTGACCAATCAGGTAGCGCTCTTAAAATAGCTCAGCTGTGGACTGAAAATTGAAACTATGCTTCAAAAAATTATCATCGGAAGAGACCCATGTATGGGGGAATGCTTCTCTTAGATCATGCTCTCTTGATTAGTATGATTGCACTGTTAAACAGAGACCAATGAAAAGTGTTTCAAAGTATCCGAAGTTATTTCTTCCGATCATAAATTGCCTCTTTCCTTTTTTCCGGCATTGTCGCCTGCTGTAATTTGCATTCTATTGCTGATACACCGAACAGTTTAAATTTCCTGTTTAGTTAAAAAGATACCTACACAGTGCTGCAATGATCAAATTGCTTCAGCTCAACCGATAATGAAAACAGGAAGTCACTATAACCGTGCCAATTAGGTTATTGAGAGTTGGCAGTAAGACAGAATTCTGCTATTCTTCGGCTTAAGTTTCTACATTTACTCAAGGCTATATAAGTCAACATGAGTCTTCACAAAGCGACTGTTTGGTTGAAGCTTGAATGCGTGCAGTTTGCGATACCTCCGCCCGGAGAATCCGAGTCATGGTAAGTCACTTTACGAATTATTTGAACATGCTATATAAAAAAGTCTCTCAGTTTTTCGGTGTACAAATTAATGTCCTTCAAATCAGCAGTTTACAAAGGTAGAAAAAACACCATAGACGTAATAATAAACCAAACAGGAACAAGGATGGTTAAGATCGAGAAAGGTTGAGACGGATTAATTCGTACGAACGATGAATGTGAAAAATGTAGGCGATTTTTTTCATGATGCACTATCCGTGATCGATGTAGCTCCTTTTAGAGCTGTTTAAAGGGACACTGTCCCGGCGTATTTGCTCAAAACTGTTATAAATGCACGAAATGGTCCCTAAATCTATCAAATAAGAACTTAGTAAACTCTATAACTAAATGATAGAAACCAATTTCTTCAAGAAATTCCATACTGCAACAAATGTTTTGCAAAATTTCAAAGATTTCCGAGCCAAATGTGAAACTTTGAAAAACTGACATCCTGACGTTTTTTTCAAAAATCCATATTGCAATCCATTTCCATCCTCGCTGTCGTTTGTTATCCTCACTTCCTAATGGGTTCCTGTCATTTGTCGAGTGCTATTCTACAGAATCAAACCATTATTGTTCAACTTCCTATCATGCTAAAATCAGGACAGTGTCCCTTTAAGTTTTCGATGCAATTATTAGAGTCACGAGTTCGAACATTTTGTAATAAAATTCTCACCCAATTGCAGCTTTTGACTCAAATACACTAACAAAGTTTCATCTCAGTGCAGTCAGTCAGTTCTTTTTCAGCGCTAAATCCGCTCCCACGCTCGCCACTTTTCGATTCGCCCTTTATCCCACTAAGGAGCCTGTTCACAGGGGTAGTTCTTTATGATCAAGATGCATAACCAATACTCTATATTTTACCTTTAACCGATCCGCTGATCTCGTATTAAAAGATGATCTGAGAGAAAAAGAACTTGTGCTTAATTATGATTTTAAAACAGCATTTTGAGAGGGTTTAATTATAAATATAAAGTCACAGTTTATAGATAATATAATTAATGTGTTTACGTCCGGGTTCACATTCTCCTGTCTCCCCAGTATACGGTTTCTCAGTCTGCCATTTTCTAATCTTGATTTTATTTTTTATTTTTAGGGATTTTCTTCTGTTGCCGCAGCTTGTTTCATTCTGTTTGCCTGCATCAGCCAGATGAGAGCTTCAGTGGTGAGCTGGTTATTATTGATAAAGTTTCGATTCTTTCAACAATATGGAAATGATTTTATTAGCCTGCAGTGCTGGCGCATTTTGGGCGCGTGCGAGCGCTGAGTCGGCCTCCAAATCTCTGGTACCCAGGGTAGCTGAATATTTGAATTAACCACAATTTGGAGGGTTGGGGCGAGAGCAAAACAACGGACGAGGGAGTGGGAGTGGGAGTCAGTCAGAAAGACCAGCGAGGGGGGAGGGGAGTGGGTTATGTGTGAA